ACAGTTGGAAATAGAAAAAAGAGCAGGCTAATGCCGCTGTCCTGTCAATATTTAACTCATTGCACACTGCACTGCCTGTCTTCTTAGCCCAGAAGGTGCAGAAAAGTAGGACGTAAAACTCCATTCATTTCATTACTGGCACTTAGACAATGGCATTTGAATTAGTGATACTATCTGTTGATTGATTGTGACCAGCTTTCAGACAAGTTGACACCCAGTTTGACTTCTCTACTTGTAAAAACCTCATCAATATTTAAACCTTTCATTCAATTCTTGATGATAAATATGTATATTAGTTATAAACATTTCCTATATTCTGTACAATAGGAACACCCATTATAGGCCTCGAAGTTCATCTTTACAGGTTTAAAGATGGGTTCCTTTACAAAAATGAAAATACTAATACTTCTATGAATAGAAAGCAGAGGTGTTCTAATGACATGGAAAAATACCAGTTTGTCTCACAAATATTTTGGTAATGATTTTACAAGGATAACAACTTAGGTTCACAAGGATCCTTTCTACCAGCTGATCCTTGGCCAAACCTCTTTGTTATGATTTTACAAGGATAACAACTTAGGTTCACAAGGATCCTTTCTACCAGCTGATCCTTGGTCAAACCTCTTTGTTATGATTTTACAAGGATAACAACTTAGGTTTACAGTTAAAGATGGGTTCACTTATTTTCATTTACAAAAATGACAATGAAAACTTTTTACAAAAAAAGTGGAATACGCCATTTAATAGTTTATGATGTCACTATCGCAAAAGCTGCTAATAACTTCTTGGAATTGCGAGAAAAATTGGAATGGTGTAAATTGATTCTGTTAGTGCCTCCAATATGCAATTTAATAAAATTTGTCCAAAACAATTTCTACTCTTGTACCTTTGTAGTGCAACAATGGCAGCCTAAAGCTTAAAATTTCAACAATTTCTTGTTTCATTCTGTAGGGAAAAAAACATCTGCCTTAACTTAAAAAAATCAAATTCTTTCATTTTTGAAGCAGAAAAATAGCTGAGGGTGTAAATTTGTAGGCTTCAGAATAATAACAATTGTTTTCAAAACGAATTCCAGCTTTTAATTGATTCAGCAAATTCTTAAGTCAC